CCCCCCCCCCCCCCCTATTTTTGGCCTTGGCCTCGCCCGCAGTGGGGACATGGGCGGAGATTACATTCTTGTCCCTATTTTTTTCCTCGGCCTCACCCACGGTGGAGACAGGGATGGAAATTATATTCTCGTCTCCATGCTTGGCCTCAGCCTTGCTCGTGTGGGACAAGGATGGAGGTTACATTCTCATCCTTGTTCTTGGCCTCGACCTCACCTGCAGTGGGGACAGAGACAAAAATTACATTTTTATCCCTGTTCTTGGCCTCTGCCTCGTCTGCAATGGGGATTGGGACGAAGATTACATTCTCGTCTCTGTTCTTGGCCTCAGTCTCACCCGCAATGACCCGGTCAAAGACGTGAAGAATTGCCTATTCCCACCTCACCCTTGAGCATCTCTACTACCATCATCCCTCCAACTCTTATGGTAATATATGAACAAACTTGGTCATCATTGAACAGTGTGGAAGAACACAAAGATTCCCTTCACCAAAGGTTGCACCTTCATTGACATCAACAACGAAGAAAGAACTATACAGTAAACCAACCACACATACAAACTCAATACCCAATGATCCTTTCAACTAATTGGTATCAAGAAATTACTCGCTATCTTACACGTAACTCTTATGCAGGAAGGCACAAATCATAATGGAACCACAAGTAAAAGCGGGGCATCTCATCTTGGTGAGTACACAACTCATAATTCCCAGCAATTTCAACACTCAAAATGAGTATGATCCATACAAATTGTGTAAACAAATCATCAGGGTATGATGAAGCTGGTAACCTCCTTGCTTGCTCAGTATCCAGCAATTCATAAATGTAAGTCATTTTGGATACCTTAAGCCATAGAACTTCATGAACAAACATGACATTATGGGTGTTGCAGGGGTGATGAAACTTTCCCAGCAGCGTTGGGTAAGGTGGCTGGCCAAGATCTGTGTAGTTCTCTACAAGTTCTTCTTGCACAGCCTTATGAGGAGCTATCTAACCTTTATACATTGTGGCTCTCTAATGTTTGTTTTTACAGTCAAATTGTTACGTTGGGTCATAGGCTTCTTCAATTAAAAATAATAATAATAATAAATAAATAAATAAATAAATTCAATTGCAAATTCTCTTTTTTTTTTCCTTTTAAGATCAATGGATGCTGAAAAGAAAAAGAAAAAAAAAAGAAGAAAAGAAATTAAAGTTTAATTTAATATAATATAATAAAAAGAGAGATTTAAAGGGCTCAGTGATTGGCGTAGAAGTTTGTTGGAATGGGACGACGAGTAGTGCAAGAAAGAACGACGCGTCGTCAAGAAAAGGACTTGAATTTGAAAACACACTAAATGACACGTGGCGTGTTTGTTTACCCTTCTTTTTACTTGCACGTCTTCTCTTTTTAGAAACCAAGTCTTCTTTTTTTTTTTTTCTTTTTTTAGTGATCTCTATACAAAAAAAATTATAAACTTTTAATTTTAATTTTAATTTTATCAAGCCCACCCGTCGACAAATTGATAAATTATAATAGCTTGAATATGATATCGACACTCTTACCTTTAGAGATGTCTATTTTGATACCAGTTCAAATGGAGCGGAAAATGAAGGAGGGAGTGAAAAGAAATTTTTTAAATTGATAACTCACTCCGACATTCATTAAACATTTTTTTTAGAATTGGTCAATAATTTGATACAGTATGAATTAAATTTATTGCTTAACCGAGTATTCGTGTTAATAAAAAATAATTAATTACACGAAGAGAAAAAAATTAAAAAAATAATAACCACCTATTGTTGATTATTACTAATATAATGAGAAAATTAAATTTAATTTCTGTAAACTTTGCTTCTCTTTTTAATTTCATTCTGCAGCTCTTCCTCGCCATCCACGTCTTCCAGTTCCTGCAGCAATCCAAACGGCGTCGTTTTCATTCAAAGTAACAAAAAAATAATAATTAGCGAGTAAAATGACGGAACTAACCTTGGGTCCTAAAAACAACCCGTACGGGACGCCATCGAATTTGTCCGTATGATGGATCTGCACCAAAAAAATAAAAAATTAAAATTTAACTCCCAAAAAACAAACGACATGTCGGGAATGACTTACATGATGGGCAGCAGCGACACGTCGTAAGTAGGGGACAGCAGCTATGGGACCCACAGGGAAACGACGGTGCACGAGGCCATCATGGACGAACATGTAGGCCATCCCAAACACCGTAATTCCCAAACCCTGCCGAATCACAACATGACACGTCATGAAAATCTGACCTGGAGTTCGACAGCCTTCACCACTTTACTAAATTAATTGTTTTAATATTTACAAAATTTCAAATAATTTCGTAGAAATTAATGTTGTTTTTAGTAAAGGGAGAAGGAGACATACAGCACCAAAACATAGACCGGGGAAGAAGCCCTGATTGAAGAAGCCGAAAGAAAGAAGAGCAATGGCAGGCACCGCGTTGATGATTGCGAACACATCGTTCAATTCAAACGCTCCATCCCTCGCCCTATGATGAGACTAGCCTCACCCATTCATGTAATTTCAAAATGTTTAGTTTGAATTATTTACAAAATTTTAACGCAAAATATTTTTTTAAATAATCACGCTATTACCTTGTGCATATTTCATAGCGAAAGTTCACACATTTAAATGTAACGAGCTATTACCTTGTGCATATTCCATAGCGCATCATGCCACAGTTGTTTATGTGCCCATCTCGCCCAGAATTCCATCCCCACCTAAAAAAAATTATTTTAGATCATTTTTAAATTTGATAATTTACCTCAAAAATACTATTAAATTTTCAAAAATTTTAATAATACTCTTAAACTTATTATTTGAACTTGAAAAGTACCCTTTTAAAAATAAAAAAAATTACTACTATAATTTCTAAATTTTTTAACTATCTTTAAAATTTTATGAATATTTTTTTTTTAACTATAATAACAAATGATATTTTTTAATTTTTTTTTTTGAAATATTAATGAAACTTTTAAAATAAAATTAAATATTTTTATTAATGCAACCATAATTTTATAGGCTTCAACTTACAGCAGCTCCAACCGATAGTGCGAAAGTACCAAACATTTCCAAAACCGGAAAATCTCCACCCTGTAAATGAAATGTAATTCGAGTTATTTTCCATAATTTTGTTATGAATTAAAATTTATTAACAAAGTTAAATTTAAATAAAAAATGGGAAAATATTGAGATATAATATTTAGAAAATATATTATAATAATTAATTATATAATCAGACTATTATTAATATAATCAAAATATACTTTAGATCTCAATTCAATTCAATCAGAATTATACACCTTAGATCTTATATCAATCAGAGTATGCACCTTAGATCCTAATTCGATTATAATTCCATTTCGATTATATCAATCAGAGTATACACCTTAGATCCCAATTCGATTATATCAATCATAGTATACACCTTAGATCCCAATTCGATTATATCAATCATGAGTATACACCTTATATCCCAATTCGATTATATCAATTAGAGTATTAAGAAAATTGGTAAAAGAAAAAAGGGGAGGGGAAAAAATACCTCGAGTTGCCAGGAGAATCTGTAATAGACAGCGATGGCAGCCATGGACGTGATCCCGAAGCTCGACACAATTGCAGCAACAAGATAAGCATCCCTTTCCGCTTTCTTCCTCCCCATTTTCTCCTCCACGATTACCTTCAAATCCCTAACCATTTCAACTTCACTCACCCCACATTTCTTCTTCACTGTCGACAATCTTCTCGTGCTCTGTTTTGCAAAGCACCGCCATGGAACACGGTTCGCCGGAGCTGGAGCTTTCGCCGGTCGTTGAATTATTCTCCGGTACGGCGCCGCGGTTGCAACGGCCGAGATCCCCGTCGCCATGAACGCACGCCGGCGAGCTTCGGATCGGATTGAGGATCGAGTCGAGAAGAAATTGGAAAGGAAAAGAAAGCGTTTATAAAGGGATTTGAGTTCTTAGGCGGGGGTTGCGTATTCAATGTAAATCAGCTGTTAAGATTCGTCGTTTTTGGTATGTTGGTGAAATTACCAAAATAACCCTATTCATTTCGTTTAAATACTATTTTAGTCATGTACTTTTCAGTCTTTTTTGTTTACATTTTTATCTCATGTTTTCGATCAAAATTTTAGCATTTTTGCAAATGAGGATCAGAGTGGTCAGGTTTTGAAATTACGTGACCAAAATCAAAGTGCTGAGAGAGATTTCGCTCGCTTTGATAATGAGAGCTAACTAGCGAGTAGTTGCATAAACTAGTTAGTCGCTAAGTTAAGCAGTGCATTCTTTTGATCCAAATGCACTTCAGTACTTCTACCCGCCATCAACCGCCAAGCAGTGTCTTAAGTTTGATTAGATTAAGGAACAAAGAGTTAAGCAAGGGCCACGAAATTGATAGAACGATTCAGTCAAAGCTTGATTAAAAGTTGCTCGTTGGAAGGGATTGCTTTCTGCAGTCTATTTTTCTTGTCATGATGTTCTCTTAGCAAAGTAGGTTCAAGCCACAATTTTGGCTTGCTCCAAGCTAGGCTCATGGACTGTACTCAGTCGCTTCTCCAGTAGTCGTCACCTCGTTCTTAGCAGATTCGATCACGTATCCATAATCTGATTAGAGACAAAAAGGAATATTTTAAATTATGGAGATGCTAAAATGAACTAAAAGTACCTGTACTAAAATTATATTTAAACATTTTTTTTTATATTATACATAAGATTAAAAAACTTTTAATTTTATATTTAATAGGTAATTGACATTAGAGATTTATTAATTATATAATTTAAAATTTAATAACATAGTTTTTCTTTTGAAATTAAGACTTCGAATCGCTTTCTTTTGTGTTATGGGACCATTGTGTTTTGTTAGTTTTGTTGAATGTTAATTTAACGTTGTGTGGTTTCATCTCATTTTATGTTTTTCTTCATTTAGGCATTATGCATCGAGTGAAGTTACGAATTTACCCTTATACTTCTAATGAGAATTGTATATTATTGCTTTCGTGTACGTACTCTATTGTCTTTTTAATTCCTTTTGTGTATGTGTGTATATAAGGTGTTTAGTTATGTCTAGCAACTAGCACAACCCTCGTGCTTAGTTGTCAACTTGGACAAACGTTTCAAAACTATTTTTGACTTGGAACAAAACAAAAATTCAAACACCGTCACACCATTCAATGTCATCACTACACCCATTTCATATCTAAATTTCTATCTAAAATTTCAATGACTTTCTACTTCGAGTCAATTTTGAAACATTTATAAAATGTCAAGTGCAATATTGCCACTTTTAAAATGAATAAAGATAGTTTTTTAAACTCATGGCGGTCGTTTAGGGTAATTTTGTAATTTAGCTCCAAGAACATGGGGTAATGCATGCAACTCAATCCATCTTGTTTTGGGCAGACCAAAATTTTGAGAAAATGTGAATGGAACAATAGGACTTTGTTTGGTTCCCCGTATTAAATCACCTATGGTTTTAATTAACCAAACCATAAGCATGATTTAGGTTAAACTATGGTGTAACAGTCCAAACTCACTGCTATTAGATATTGTCCTCTTCGAGCTTATTCTTTCGGAGTTTCCCTCAAGGTTTTAAAACGTGTCTGTTATGGTATAAGAATTGTTTTATTTCTCTCTCAAACCGATGTGAGATATCATAATTCACCCTCTTTGGGCTTAGCGTCCTCGTTGACAAATTGCTCGATTTTTAGCTTTGATACAATTTATAACAGCCCAAACCCACTGCTAGTAGATATTGTCCTCTTTAAGTCTTCCCTTTCGAGTTTCCTCTCAAGGTTTTAAAATGCATCGGTTAGAGAAAGGTTCCCACACCCTTATAAGAAATGTTTTCTTCCCCTCTCCAACCGATGTGGGATCTCACATTCACCCCCCTGGAGCCCAGTATCACGATCATGCTCGTCCAGAGTGTGTTGCCCATGGCCGCATGCCCATGCCAAGCCAAACCCTTTATGTTTTTCCATGTAATGCTTTTCTTTTGTATTCTTAAGAGAGTATGACGTTTCGGCAAAATCATGTATAGGTCTGCCAGACATGAAATGCCTCAAAATGTAGTATAGGGGATATGACTAGTGGTCAACTTCTCCCTATCAATAGTTATATACTGCAAGCGTTGTTGCCTGTTTGCTTGCATATAACACCAATTTCAATTTCTCAAATCTTGCTTTCAAAACCTATTTTTTGAAATCTCTCTTTGAACTCGTTTTCTCAAACTTTCTTCTTGAACTGGGGCCGAGGCTCGAGCATACATCGCTTAATCGTAAGCAACGCAAGAATGAATTGGCTTAACACATTTATTGTTGGAAAGTGAGTGTCGTACAATCACAAGTCCGCTGCCATCAAAAGTGCGATTGTGACACCCAGCGTACTCACTAGCACATCGGCCAATGTCTGGCTCTGATACCATTTGTAACAGCCCAAACCCACCGTCAGCATATATTGTCCTCTTTAGACTTTCCCTTTCGAGTTTTCTCTCAAGGTTTTAAAACACGTCTGTTAGAGAGAGATCTACACACCCTTGTACGAAATATTTCATTCTCCTCTCCAACCGATGTGAGATCTCAGATATGATTAGAATTTACTGAAGGGCACGAGAAGCAATAATTCTTTTATTAGGTACCAAATTCAAAATCCTATAACCCTTTTTAGAAAGAAAAAGAAGAATGAGCTGAAAATATGTCATTAGAATCTGCATTTTAATAAACACACAATGAAGCAAATACAAAGAAAAACATATCTATAACAATACACCCTTCAATTTATTTCATAAGTTCATTGAGATCCATGGAAAGTACAAGCATCCACAATCTTTGCTCCAAAATCTCCCAATACCTAATACTCTGCTCCATTTTTCGATTCGTTTTTCGGGTCTTTCGTTCTTAGTTTCTTCGAATTCGTTCATTCATATGGGTAACCATACAAGTTTTACTGCTGTTCTTATCTACTTGATCATGACAGTAAATCCTATTCAGGGAAAAGAAAACAAGTGTTCAGTTTCCAGCATCTAGATCACCTTAGACGCAAAGAGTCGTCCTTCTGCCTGATTCGTCGGGGTTGAACCGAACGGATTCTTTCCAGATGAGTTCTTTAATATGCTCTTCAGTGCACGACGGTTGCTCGAAATCGAAACTGAAGGGCCTGACACAGAGTGGCTCGTCGTTGATGTCGTGAAGAGATTGCAAGTATGGATGACAAAGTGCCTCCTCCACTGCAAAAGGGTACAGAGGTATCACATATTTGATGGCGTTTAAAAGCAAAGATCGAGATCTTTTCGTGGTTAAAGTATGAACGGTTTTTGCAGACCTGTAATGCGTTTGTTTGGATCGAATACGAGCATCTTTTCTAGAAGATCAAGAGCAGCTGGAGACATGTTGGGAAATCTAGCTGAGAATTGTTGTTTCCTGTACTGTGGAAGCTGCTTGACGTATCTTCGAGCATTATCGCTTCGGAGAAATCCTAGGCTGGCGTCATCCGGTGATCCTAGTAGCTTTTACATTGGAAAACAAAGAAATGATCAAATAAATACGGGAAAATATGCATGCTTTTCATTATTCATCAGCAGGAATGAAGAGCTAAAATACTTCTCAAAACGTCACGGTCGATAAAAATGACGATGAGAATCAAGATATCACAAGCACAAAAAGAGATTTTCAGCGTACATAAGATGTCAAACATACAAGATGGTCATTTAGCACCACCACCATTGAAAAACCACTGTTATTTACAAATATGATCGAGTGAGCCTTGATAGTCAACGTCCATAGCAGAAAGAGTGTGTGCGTGCGTACGGAGGGAGAGTATGTTAGAAGTAAATAGGGAAGTTGATATAGAACGGAGAACGAGCACTCAAGACCCGGAACACTGTGATTCTCCCATAGGCTTCTATCTTGTTTTCCTTTTGACTTGTAGTGAGTTTGTGTCCCCTTTGCCCCGTTACATATCGCCGTCAGCCTCACGATTCTAAAGCATGTCTATTAGGGAGAGATTTCCACACTCTTATAAAGAATGTTTTGTTTCCCTCTCCAACCAATGTGGGATCTCACAATCTACCCTCTTGGGGGCCAGCATCCTCGCTAGCACATCACCTAGTGTCTAACTCTGATACCATTTGTAATAGCCCCACCCCACCGTTAACAGATATTGTTCGCTTTGGTCCGTTACGTATCGCCGTCAGTCTCATGGTTTTAAAGCACATCTGTTAGGGAGAGATTTCAACACTCTTATAAAGAATGTTTCGTTCCCCTCTCCAACCAATGTGAGATCTCACAATCTACCCTCTTTAAGGGCCCAGCATCCTCGCTGGCACACGGTGTTGGGCTCTAATACCATTTGTAACAGTCCAAGCCCACCACTAACAGATATTGTCCGCTTTGGCCCGTTACATATCGCGTAAACCTCACGGTCTTAAACCACCTCTATTAGGGAGAGGTTTCCACTCTCTTATAAAAAATGTTCTGTTCCCCTCTCCAACCAACGTGGAATCTCACAATCTACCCTCCTTGGGGCCCAACATCCTTGTTAGCACACCGTCCAGTGTCTGACTCTAATACCATTTGTAACAACCCAAGCCCACTACTAACAAATATTGTCCTTTTTGGCCTGTTACATATCGCCATCAGCCCCACGGTTTTAAAGCACGTCTGTTAGGGAGAGGTTTCCACAATCTGACAAAGCATGTTTCGTTCCACTCTTCAACCAACGTGGAATCTCACCGTTTGGGATAAAAATTTAGTTCCTCTCATCAAACATTAAACTCTATCAAATTTTCCAAACTATAAAAAGAGTTGAACACAAGACAACATGAACTCTTATAGGTATTAAAACTTGTACCTCAGTTATAAGTCTGAGTTGATGAACATAATCTTTTCCAGGGAAGAGAGGTTCTCTGGTCATGATCTCACCAAGAATGCATCCGACAGACCAAACATCGATAGCAGCAGTGTACTCCGAACAATTGAGCAGCAATTCCGGTGCTCGGTACCAACGAGTAACCACATATTCAGTCATGAAGTCGGTTTCAGAAGTCGTTCTTGCTAATCCAAAATCGCCAATTTTAAGGTCGCAATTTGCATTCAGAAGCAGGTTGCTTGGCTTGAGATCACGGTGCAGGACCTTGGCTGAATGTACATACTTCAGCCCACGCAATAACTGATACAAAAAGTACTGCAAAGTGCATGACATGTCAGTTTAATGGTGAGTTTAGCTTCGAAGACAACGCTAATCAAAGTTATGAACAATGATTCTCTAAATATGAACGACCACTATAGATCGTCATCCATACGCGTATCGTCACGCCAGAATACAAAAACTTGATGCAGTGATTGGCCAAAAAGTTTGAGGAAAAACAGTAACAACCCAAGCCCACCACTAGCAGATACTGTTCGCTTTGGCCTAGTCTCGCGGCTTTAAAACGCGTCTACTAGGGAGAGGTTTCCACACCCTTATAAGGAATGCTTCGTTCCCCTCTCCAACCGATGTGAGTTCTCACAAAAACTTTTCTCGAGTCAATAATGATAACAAACTTCAAACTTTCAATGACCATTATTCTTTCTCGGTTTGGCTCGAACTCACTAATATCGATCGAACATTAACTTAGATCCCAAAGAAGTATAAAACAACTATAAGTGTCATGAACTCATATTTTATAAAACGATCACTGGGGTAGGATCAAAATTGCAGCGTCAAACCTGGCAATGATCGTCGGTCAGTGATTGGTCAGAACGAATTATTTGATGAAGATCAGTGTCCATCAATTCGTAAACGATATAAACATCATTAAAAACCTCTCTTTTTGGTGGCCGAATGATGTCTCTGATGGCTATAATCTGCGAAGGGTTAAAAATCGAGCAGTTACAGAGGACGAAGCAGATAAACAAGCTCTCAGCTCATCTAGCAGGGAATATAAAAACAAACCATACATTTTCATGTTCCATGTGGCAAAGAAGCTTAATTTCTCTCAATGTCCTCTTGGCATCGATTATGTTATCAAAAGCATTCCCAATTTTCTTGATGGCAACCTCTTCATGTGTCTCAGAATTTACAGCAGCACTACAGAGAAAGAAATTATGGAACCCAGCACACGGTTCGGTTATCGAAATCGTCACGATATTACTCAGAACTTTAAAACGAAAAGTGGATCGACAACAAACATCTAGAAGTAGCAGAAAGACAAGCTGTGATTGAGAGAAGACAATAGAAAAGGTAAGCCTTACTTTTGGTTTTCTTCAGTGGATCCCCAATCTAACTAAGTTGGATTAGATCACTAGTTTTCAAGCTAAGCCAACCATGGGTCAACACGAACATAGCTCAACCGATTAAACCATACTTGTAACGGCCCAAGTCCACCACTCTTTGGGCTTTCCCTCTTCGACTTCCCCTCAAGGTTTCTAAAACACGTCTGCTAGGGAGAGGTTTCTACACCCTTATAAAGAATGTTTCGTCCTCCTCCCCAACCGATGTGGAATCTCACAATCCACCCCCGTTCGGGACCAAACGTCCTCGCTAGCACTCGTTCCCTTCTCCAATCGATGTGGGATCTCATGATCCACCCCTTTCGTGGCTCAACGTCCTCACTTGCACACCGCCAGGTGTTCACCCCTCTTCGGGGTTCAGCCTCCTCGCTGGCACATTTAATACCATTTGTAACACTCAAACCCACCATTACCAGATATTCTACTTTGGCCCGTTACGTATGTTAGGGAGAGGTCTCCATATCCTTATAATGAATATTTCATTCTCCTCTCAAACCGACATGAGATCTCACATTACTCACGTCCAAAAGGTCATAGGTTCAATTCACCTCATACCCAATTGCTGTGTTGAACTAACAAAAGAAAAAGAGCATGCCAACCATACACATTCTAACAAGCATTACCAAGCCAAATTGCAAACAGAACATAAGATTTCACTAAACAAGTAAGCTACAATGAATCTACCAAGCAGATCAGGAGGAGAATCACCAAAACTTCCACAAACTTGTTAGAAAACAACTAAAAAAAAGAAGAACAGCAGTTTAGAGATCAAAACCTTACCAAACAAGACCATAAGCACCTCTACCAATGGGTCGCAAAGGAGGAACATACTTAGCAGAAACCTCAAACAAGTTACCATAAACATTATACTGAACATATCGGCCGCCATGGGTAAGAACCCCTTTAATCTTCCCCTCAGTGGCAGCCGCAGAGCTGGACTCTTTAGTAGCCATTTTGGGAAATGGAAAAAAACCCAGAATCGCCTTCAAAGGAATAAGCAACCAGGGGAAGTGTTGGTTTCAAGTTACTGATTTCAAAAGAAATGCTATATTCGGAGAAGCGTCATGGGAGAACTGGGAAAAGGGTGTTCGGGAAAGCTGAATTTGGGGCTTTTTGAAAAAGTAAGGTCTGAAAAATGTGAAGGGCGATGAGCAATGGCGATTGATTGCTTGCTTGCTTGCTTCTGGTTCTTCTTTGCTTTATTGATCTGAAAATGGTTTGAAAATCCGTGAATCGAAGCCGACTTTTTTCGCTCCGCCAAAACAAACGCCCTTCTCCACTCCAATAAGATCTAATTAAAACCGCCATTAATGCGATTTTTTCCCCTTTTAATCGGTTACGTACATTGACATTGTTGCGGTTCGTTGGGTCAGCTCAGCCCTACTTTAAAGAATTTGTTCTTTTTTTAAGTTCCCCAACATTTTTTTTTCTTTTCTCGAACATCCTTAAAATGGTTGCTTCTTGTTCTACGTTTTGAATTCAATGGCTTTCACAAATTGTATAATTCTAAATCACTTCTTACTTAAAAATGTTAAATTAATTAGGGATTATATATATTTAATAATAAAAGTCGATATTTAATTATTATAATTTTGAAGGTACAAGGACGGTGTTGTTACAAATTTAAAAGTAGATAGATTAAATGGTTGATTTCGTAAACATTATTTATTTAAAAAAGATTTGGTATTTCATCGGTAGTATATAAGGGTAGGTAGTATATAAGGGTATTCATATGACTTGATAAATGGATGAATTTAGACTATCCAATCAAAACCATAAAGACTGAGTTGGTTATATTTTTTTCATTTTATTGGGTTGAATTTTTCGAAAATTGAAAAAATTTGTTCGTGGGTTGACATTTTTTTGGTCGAGTCAATTCGACCCACTAAAAAATAATGTTATAGTTTAACCCAACTCAACTGAGAATATTTTACCTTTTTAATTGATGTTAATGATAACTGTAATAAATTTATGAAATCTTAGTTATTAATATAATAATATGTATTGAGTTGGGTTAAGTTACGAGTTGTTTAGGTCATCAATCCAATCAACTCGAAATTTTGTGTTGGTCTAACTCAACTCAATCTAGTTGTTTTGGTTATCAATCCAATCATTTCGAAATTTATTTTGTGTCGGTCTAACTCAATCTAGTCTAACCCCGTGTACATCCAATTTATACTTGTCTTTAAATTAGTAACTAATGTTGTGATTTGTCTCTAAAGCATTAAATTCAGATCATCAATGACTTTCCCTTGTTTGAAAAATAGAAATTCAGGTGAGAATCAACTAAAATTAATAAAAAGTTGGTTTATTTAAACGTTTAGTTTTTTTATCAAAACATTCCAATAATTAATCAAAACATTCCAATAATTTAAGATTAGATCGATCAAACCATTATCCAACCTAGATAAGTTCATAACCAAACACAAACCAAAATTTGTTAAACGCCCCTATATATAGATTAGTTCGGTCTAAAACTTAGCTGGGGAAGTGAAGTAAATTTGAAGTTAAAATGTAAATAAAAGTGGAAAGTTTAGGATGGATGGAAGTGAAACTCCCACAAAATTTCAGAGAAAGCAGCACTTTCCCCCTTATTAGAGATATGGTGGTTGTGTTTCACGGGATATCTGGCGTTGAGTTTAAAGCCATCCACTCCCGGCCTACTTGGTCGAGTCTTTGACAGCCAAACATAACTTCGATCAACCCTTTTTTCTAGGTGCATGCATCAGCTCATTCAACAGACCCAATTCACGTGAATAAGAAAGAGAAGCATTTCAATTAAGGACAGCTAGGAAAGAAAAGGATGCATTTCTGCTCCAAATGCACCGTACAGTACACAAAGTACACACAGATTCATAGTCGCATTCCTTGGAGCATCAAAAAGCCCGCAAAAGTAACAAAAGTGCAAACAGACCATTGTTCCAGGGCTCTTTCCCTCCAGTTCAATGAGATGTCAAATTCATTTGAGGAGATTTCACATGGGCTAATCATCCTCCACCCACAGACATAATACTCACATATATGCAATGCAATTTGATTACTATGGAAGCCTTAACTACAGCATCTAGAACAGCAACAAATTGAAAATGGATGAGGCAGGCAGTGAACTAGAATGCTTCTGGGATAAGTTGATTAATTCACAATCTAAACATGGTGAGAACAGAGTTTTAGGCATCAGCAATAGGAGAGAGGGAATCAAAAAGACTTCCGCAATCAAAGATCTGACAATTGATTATAGGCAAACAAAACTGATATGATTTCATGAGTTTAATCTAACATCTTCGATTCAACATGCTTCAATACTAAAACTAACAAAAACAATTCCCATACACCTATGATGTTCTCTCATTCAAGATTTGATGGTGCAGGTGCTCCACCATAGCTACCAGCTCCACGGCCAAAGCCAGGCCTTCCTCCAGGACCCTAAAGAACCAATAAACAGCAATTAGAAAGTTATTGACTTTGATACCCCCAACTGGGAGAGTGAACTGTAACTAAGATTCGAAATATCAAGATCAAACAATCTCTAGATGGCATAGCAAACAAATCTAAATAAGAATATCAAGAGTTGGGTAATCCTAGGAGTGGTGAAATTGCTTACGCCAAAAGAAGGTCTGTAATCAGCAGGGGCTCCACCCTTATCACCAAAATCACCACCAGCTCCGCGAGGACCACCACGGTAGCCATCTCGGTCACCAAACCTTCTTTCCCCATCAAATCTCGATGGGCCACTATTCAAAAGTAAGAGGATTTAAGGATAATCAAAATCAAACTACAAAATGATTCAGAGACCAGCAAAGTGCAGAATCAGTAGAACCGTAATATCAAGGTAAAAGGATAAATTTCCAAATCCAATCTAGTCAAAGCAGTAGCAGACCATTTAGAACTAAAATTATTCAACATAAAGTAATGATACAGAGTAAATCAACAAGCTAAAACCAGCACAAAGTTCAGGAAAAACCAATAAGCAAAAGTATGGAAATCATCCATCATATGCAAAGCAGCAGAAGATTTACCGTGGGCGGTCTCCAGATGGGCCACCAAAGGGTCGACCAGCTGGTTTTGCTTGCTTCTTCAAGGTAGCCGGGACAATTTCTGAAGGGAGATTCAGGTAAGTCCTCAGAAACTCAATGCCATCGTTCGTGAGGTACCAGTAGTAATGCATCCAGGCAAATGTCTCGCGAACATACTCCTTGGACTTGAAGCTTTGCATCAGCTTTATCACTTGCAAATTTGGCACATCGATTTCTGGGTGCTTGGCTAGATTGTAGTCCTTCTTCGCATAGCAAACTCCCTCTAATATAAAACAGAAACAAACAAAAAATAAACAAACAGACAAGGAGAAAAAGGAAAAAAAACCCTAACCACAACAAACACACAAGAAAGTAAAATTCACTACCTTGAAATAGGTACTTCGAGATCTCTCGGCGGTTCTTCTCAGAAATGATCTAAAAGACAACGTTCGGATCGTTTAAACAGATTTACTCCCCGTTGAGAGTGGATTAAAATCATGAACAACAAAATAAAAACACTTCAAATTCAGAGTTCAGGCCGGTAACACTAATTGCATCCAAAGTCCCAAACCCAATCCCAATCGAAAACCAACCAAGCGCATTGATGAATGGTGCGAATGAACGAGCCCTCGACGATATTAACAACTAATTATATTTCCTTCAAATCTCACTAACATTTTCCATTGGTTTCTGGATAAACAAAAGAATAAACTTGGGTGTTCAATGTACGGGGAAAGGATAAACGGCGTACCATTTCGACGGAGTGATCGGCGGCGGCAGGAAGAAGCGGCAGCTAAGAGAGAAACCCTTTCACAATCTTTCTTCACAACGTAAAGCCCTAAGGCTCAGAAACTTTGACTTATAAAATATCCAATGAATAGACAACTTATGGGCTTTCCGGCCCATTGTCTTCTTTCGTACTGGTTACGGGCCACGGCCCAAACATTGAGATTACTTGTTAACCCCCGTGTTTGGAATTAAAATAAAATATAATTTTATTGACGTCATTATTTGGATGATTTATAAGTCATTATTGACGTCATTATTTGCAGTCGTGTCATTCAACATAACATAATATTAAAGTTATGCTCTAAATTTAGTCATGTCAGTAGAATTTTTACATGTAAAAAAAAAGCTCTAAAAGAAAAAAGAATTGAGGCTCCTTGAAGGCATAATAAAAAAATGACTAATACTCCAAAATAAAATAAGTCGAGCCTCGATTAAGGGGAGACGTACTTTGTTTGAGAGGAGGTGTTGGATGAAAGTCTCACGTCGGCTAAATTAAAATATATCTCTTAATATATATATATATCTAAATTAATCATCAATTATTAAATAATATTTGATAAAAGTAAAAAATGAAATAAATATATTAAAGTAACAAATTTTCGGAAATATATTCTTCTTGGGCCGAGCCCAAATCGGCTCCTCCCTCGCGGGGAAACGACATCGTTTAGGATGCGGCACCCAACGAGCAGATAGACGGAGGAGCGAGAATAAAAAATTGTCAGTGGTGCTGCAGAAGTGAAATGGCGGGCGTGTGGCAACCCGTTATGGTGCAGCGAATCAACACTCAATAGTCACTCGCGCGACCCTTGGGAGCTCTCTAGAGCCACCATCACTCGCTTCTCAATAATTTATTCCACTTTCTTGATTTGATTATATAACCAACGCCGTCGCTCTCACCAATTTCCATGTTTCCAGGTTTGTACTCTTCACTTGTGTATTTTTCTGATCGATCTTCCATCGCCGATCGCTCTGTTTTGCACGAGCTTTTGCAGTTCGTAGATTGATGATGACAGCTGCATCGAATTCTGTGTCGCTGAAGCACGGCCTCTCTCTCTGGTGTCCGCACTCTGGTTCCTTTTCTAGAGCTCAGCCAAAATCTTCTGTTTCTTTCAGATCTTTCCAGAGAAGCTACGTTGTTGCCTCCTCGGCTTTCGCTAACGAGAATAGAGAGTCCGTGTTTTTCATTTCTTCTCTTCCAGATTTTGTTGGATCTTGCGGGGTGGATGGTGAATTTTGTGGTTTTTGCTTTTTTTGTTCTTGTAGGTTTGTGATTGTTGGTGGTGGCAATGCTGCTGGTTATGCGGCTCGTACTTTCGTCGAGCACGGGATGGCGGATGGACGACTTTGTATAGTAACTAAGGAGGTAATTTGGTTTTACAGTTTCGTTCCAGCATAAATTCTTTAATGTAGACAACGAAGGTATCGAATTAGGTTGTTTTCCCCATTTCGAATTGTGAACTTATCGTAAAGTAATTTCTTGGCACTGATTCTATTGCAGGCAGTTGCACC